TTGTGTTGTTTCTTTTACCAAAAATTATGTGTGTTTATAGGACCGGAGTTCGAAACAGGTGATTGGCACAGGATGTGAGTCTCATGGTCTTTATCATCTCCGTCCCTCTACACATGTTGGTGCAATTATGAAGTCTCCCTCTCTTCTTCATGCTCAGTTAGGTCATCCAAGTCTTGCCAAGTTAGCATGTGAGTTGTGTCAATTAGGCAAGCATAGTCGTACTTCCTTTCCTCGTAGTGTCACACGTGTTGTTTCGTCCCCTTTTGTCGTGGTTCACTCTGACATTTAGGGACCTAGCCACGTTAAGTCTACTTTAGGTTTTCATTACTTTGTTACTTTCATTGATGATTATTCTAGATGCACTTGGTTATTTTTTATTAAAATCATTCTGAATTATTTCATATCTTTCAAACTTTTTTTAATGAAATTCAAACTTAGTTCAATGTTTCTATTAGATTTTTGCGCAGTGATAATGACCGTGAATATCTTTCTCATTCTTTTAAACAATTCATGGCTTCTCACGGTATTTTGCATCAAACTTCTTGTGCTTATACACCTCAACAAAATGGTGTAGCTGAACGTAAAAATAGACATCTTATTGAAACAACTCGCACCATTTTAATTCATGGAGAGGTTCCTCAACATTTTTGGGGTGATGCTCTTCTTACTGCATGTTATCTCGTTAATCGCATGCCTTCTTCGGTTTTAGATAATAAAATACCTCACGAACCACTTCATTCCTTACCTCTAAGAGTTTTTTGGTTTACATGTTTTATTCATAATTTCAGTTCTGGTCTTGACAAGCTTTCTCCTAGATCACATAAATGTGTTTTCTTAGGGTTTACAAGATCACAAAAAGGATACAAATGTTTTTCTCCTTCTCTCAACCGTTATTTTGTGTCTGCAAATGTCACCTTTAATGAGTTCTCTCTTTATTTTAAAAGTCAATCTTCACCTCTGTCTCCATCCAATCCTGTCAATATTCCTAGTACATTTAATGTTCCTATTGTTTGTGACCTTCTAATTATGTCTTCTTCACCATTAGTTCCTGCTCCGCAGTCAGTTTCTTCTCCACCGCCTCTTCAGGTTTATAGTTGCAGAAACCAATCACAACCACCACCATGTGACTCCACCCAAGTGTCAACTACTCTGTCTCCTCCAGATCTGACACCTGAGTCTGACATTCCCATTGTCCTCCGAAAAGGTATCTGTTCTACACGTAATCTCTCTCCCCATTATATTGCTTTGAGTTATCATCGACTATCATTACCTTTTTATACATGTCTTTCCTCTATTTCTTCTGTGATCATTCCAAAAACTGTTCGTGAAGCTTTTTCCCATCCTAGTTGGCATTAGGCCATGTAGATGAACTAAGTGTTCTTCATAATAGTGGAACTTGGGAATTAAACCTGTTACCGTCTGGGAAATTTGTTATTGGTTACAAGTGGGTGTTTGCTATCAAAGTTGGACCTGATGGTACTATTGATCGCCTCAAAACTCGTCTTGTGGTCAAAGGTTATACTCAAATTTTTGGGTTAAATTATGGAGATATCTTTTCTCCCGTGGCAAAGATAGTTTATGCTCGTTTATTTATAGCCATAACCGCTCTTCAACAATGGCCTCTTTATCAATTGGATGTTAAAAATGCTTTGCTCAATGGTGATTTGTAAGACGAAATCTATATGGAGCAACCTCCTATGTTTGTTGCTCAGGGGGAGTCTTCTGGGATGGTATGTCGTCTTGGCAAATCCCTATATGGCCTAAAACAGTCTCCTAGGGCCTGGTTTGGAAAGTTTGGTAAGGTTGTTCAACAATTTGGCATGACTCGGTGTGAAACATATCATTCTGTCTTTTATCGGCACTTGAGTGCTGGATGTGTTTACTTGATAATATATGTTGATGAAATCGTTATTACAGGAAGTGTCAACCATGGCATCTCTCAGTTGAAACAACATCTCTGTCACCATTTTCAGACCAAAGATCTTGGCAAACTTAGATATTTCTTGGGTATTGAGGTGACACAGTCCAATGATGGTATTGTTATATCTCAGAGGAAGTATGCCATGGATATTTTGGAGGAAACTAGGTTGATGAGTTCAAAGTCTGTTAGTACACCCATGGATCCCAATACTAAACTTCTACCAAATCAGGGGGAGCCTATATCTGATCCTGAGCAGTATAGAAGATTGGTTAGAAAATTAAATTATCTTATAGTTACTTGTCCTGACATTTCCTTTGCAGTCAGTGTGGTAAGCCAATTTCTTAATTCCCCATGTGAAGATCATTGGAATGCAGTCATTCGTATCTTGAAGTATGTTAAAGGATCTCCTAGAAAAGGATTGTTATATGGTTCTAATAACCATACAAAATTTGTTTGCTACTCAGATGCTGATTGGGAAGGATCTCCTTCGGATAGAAGATCTACATCTGGATATTGTGTCTCCATTGGTGGTAACTTGATCTCATGGAAAAGTAAGAAACAAAGTGTTGTGGCAAGATCCAGTGCAGAAGCAGAATATAGAGTTATGGTCCCAGCTGCCTGTGAACTTGTTTGGTTCAAGCAATTGCTTAAAGAGTTACAATTTGGAGATGTCACTCAAATGACACTTGTGTGGGACAATCAGGCTGCTCTTCATATTAGCTCTAATCCTGTCTTTCATGAAAGGACCAAACACATTGAGATTGACTGTCATTTCATTCAAGAAAAGATTATATCTGGAGACATCAAGACTGAGTTTGTTAACTCAAGTTATCAGTTAGCAGATATTTTTACTAAGTCTTTATGGGGGCCTAGAATTGATTATATTTGTAACAAGCTTGACACATACGATTTGTATGCTCCGGCTTGAGGGAGAGTGTTAGATATTGTTTAGATATTGTTTGATATTGTTAAAATATTGTTAGATATTGTTAACCACAATATCAAACAATATCTTCTGTTTATTCTGTTTACTTTCGGTTACTCTTTTAGTTGTATCTCTCTATTATAAATAGATTACCCTATGTGTGATTTATACACAAGGGAGATTAATCTCAAACCCTATTTCTTTTATATTCAACAAATACCATAAACAAACAAGTGATCACGTATATCCTCAAGTTTATGACGAATTTGATTCAAACAACGAACACATGGACAATAATATGTCTCTTTCATAGGTTTTCCATTTTCACTAGCAAATTTCAAAAATTCATCAACTCCTTTTTCGTACTCTTCACTAATACGACGTGCATTCATCCAACTTTGATTCATATCTACCTATGTTATAAATTTTCGCCACTCCTAAAGATTCAAAATTTATATTTTAAAAAAAATAATATACAAACAACAAAGAAAGTGATTAACACGTAAATAGAGTGTGTAAACCGAAAAAACTCAAACAAATAAACAGATAATGACATTCCAATAACAATCCAGTGGAGACATTCATGCAATAACGTGATTGAGATCCCTAAAAAAAATCAGAGATTCAATTTGAACATATAACAAAAGACATAAAATACTAACCTCGAGTATACACGAAAACGATTTAAAACTCGAATCCAATCGGGAAGAAACGTCAAATTCAGAAAATAAGACATAATATTGATGTTTTTCATAGTTAAAATAATTAAAAATGGTGTGAAATGGTAGTTGTCGTCATTCTTAAAAACCCTTACTGCGCGAGATGAGAGAGTGGTCGTGGAACAAAATAAAAATCAGTTTTTACGTTGCATACAATAGTGTGCGACGTAAAACCGATCCACTTTTTACATCATATACAAGTAGTGTGACGTAAAAATCTCACATCTTATTTACAAAATTATAATCGCATTTTATTTATGTCAAATATTTTTTTATGTAACGAGAATTGGGTGACGTAAAAAGTCCTTTTTATACTAGTGTTATAATTACTTTTCTTTTTTTTAATATAATATTTTTCGCTTGAAATGAAAAAAAAAATATGACCAATTTAAAATCAAAATTAAACCAGAATCAATTTAATTTCTACTATAAAAAAATATTTCATAAATCAATATTGTATTATAAATGGGTGCTATGTTAACCTGTATTATTAATATTCTGTATAAAATAATTATCTATTATTTAAAATCTGATATTCTATATAATTTGGTAATGTGAAAACTATACATTTATAATAAAATAAATTTATAATATTCTTTTTATATTATCTTGATTACACTTAATTTAAAATTAAACATTTTCTATTAATAGAACAAACTTAATTTAAAATTAAACATTTTCTATAAATGGGTGCTATGTTTTTTTTTTATTGAGATTCGTGTGTCATCTTATATTCCAATATGTCACAATAAAATTTAAAAGAAGATAATTAATAGTACATTAACACACATTATTGCTATAAATTTTGATTTATTATATCAAACAAAATAATTATAAAATTTCTTGGTAATATATTAAATTGATGATTGATATTTATAATTTTTTTAATATTTTAGAATAATTCATCGTCAATATTTTATATTAAATTTTATGTAGGCTAACACCTAGTTCAATCCCCTGTTCTTTGGAATATACTTGAAATATATATATATATATATATATATATATATATATATATATATATATATATATATATATATATATATATATATATATATATATATATATATATATATATATATATATATATAATAACACCACCTTAACTTTAAAATGTTTTTTTAATAGTTAAACTACATTAATTGCTTATAGAAACAAATTCTATACAAATTAAAGTTTTGGTAAGATGTGCAAGCAATTAAGTATCATCATGAGAAAATAATATATTTCAGATACATATTAAATTGCCATTTAATAATTTTGAGAAAATAATATATTTCAGATAATACAAGGAAAGAAAACCTTATCTTAATGATTCAAAAGAGGCCATGAAAATGGTCTATATAAGAACTCATGATGCACACCATCATCACTATCTTCCTGTGATACAACTATAGCTGTTGTTTTTTTCCTGTGTATATGCTCTACATGTGTCATGGGCAAAGACAAGTACAGGTCCTTCTTGCATGATGAACCTGATAACATCCAGTGGAGACATGGTGGTCCTCCTACTTATGATGCTGTTAACAAGCTTTTTGAAGAAGGAAGAACCAAGGTGCAACAACCACCATACCCTCTTACCTTTTATTTATCCTCTCTTCTAGATTGTTGTTCAATTTGTATTTGCATGTTTGCAGGAATGGCCAGAAGGATCATTGGAGGAGATAGTGCAAAATGCTATCAAGTCATGGGAGATGGAGCTCTCACACAAGACCCGTTTGCAGGATTTCAAGACAATAAACCCCGAGAAGTTCAAGCTCTTTGTGAATGGTATGCACTTTAACATTTGTCAAGTTTATTTCCTCTCCATCTTTTTCAATGGACATGTTAGGGATTTTGATAGATACATAGATGTACTCTTTTATACTCTTTTGTTCGATTATTTGATTGACTTCTATTCACTTGATTAAGGGGTCATGAATTTTTCATCATGTACTTCTCATTATACACCCCACTTCCATATTTCCACAAGAAAATAAAGATCAGATTTGCCCCCATCAACAGACATGGACAATTTGGTAGTTCTGAAGCAAAAAGACATCCCCATGAGACACATTTTATATCATTTTCATTCCTTGCATATGTATTTTCTAGTAGGAGACAAGCTTTTCAAGGGAATATGATAATAAATAATAGTTGCATTACATAATTACATCAATCATGTTCTGATTTTTCTGATAGTATATTAATTTTATGTTGTCAAAATTAGCATCATGTTTCATTTGCAGGCAGGGAGGGATTATCTGGAGAGGAAACTCTAAAGTTGGGAAGTTATAATGCTTTGTTGCAAAGTTCTCTGCCAGAAGACCTGAAGCCTTACAAAGCTGATGAAGAGACTTTTGAATCATCTCATGAAATCTTCAGATCAGCTTTTCCTAGAGGGTTTGCTTGGGAGGTGATAAAAGTTTATAGTGGGCCACCTGAAATTGCTTTCAAGTTTAGGCACTGGGGCATCTTTGAAGGCCCTTTTAAGGAACACGCCCCTACTGGGAAGATGGTCCAATTCTATGGCTTTGGAACTGTCAAGGTATTACTTTTACCGTTGTGTAATAGAATATGTTTCTATTTGACAACTAGAAAGAAAAAATAAACGATGAAATCAAATGTTTCGAAGCAAAATAAACACCAGAATGTTTTTTGTATTCAATGATTCGATTACGGTCTTGTTCTATGAAAAAGTTGTTTGATAAGTTTAGAGGAAAAAAAAATGTTTATGAACTACTCTTGATTTTGACACCTAATTGTGCAAGAGTTTTGTCATATCAGTGGTTTTGACTCTTTTTCTAGGCATTAGATGTCTTTTTAGGAGGAAAGTGCAATGAAACTAGCAAATACTAAGGTGAACACAAAACTGTGTTGGAATTACTGAATACTAAAATAAACACAAAAATTTCTAAAGACAAACAAAATTTTCCACCTAGTATTGACAGTTAGTGCTGTGATTTTTCCACTAAAGATCATAAAAAACATTTTACTTAAGGCTCTATCACAATCATGACTCATGAATCTATACAGGTGGATGACTCTTTGAAAGTTGAAGAGGTGGAAATTTACTATGACCCAGCTGAGATGCTTGGAGGCCTTCTATCAGGGAAGGACCCAAATCACCTCATAGAAGATGGCACCAAAACTTCAGCACCTTCCCAAGCATGTCCTTTCTCCAAATAGTTGCTAAAGTGAATAATAATATTTTTTTTATCAAGCTATATTTCTTGAATCAAGTGATGTTGCAGCTGATATGTGAAGAAAAATCATAGTACTTTGTGTGATATTGGGTCCAGTGAATAAAACTAGACAAATCTCAAAATGAATTAATTTTTTTCCCGCTTTTTATAGAAAGTTGTGGCAAATACATGTGCTATGTTGGTAAGTAATGTGCATGATAGAATGTGTCTGTTTGGCATTGCAGTTGCATACTATAGAAGTTGTAAGTTATTCTACACCTACTATTCAGAGCATAACTTTTTTTTCTTTTTTATTGTTATGATTATTTTGAGTCTCTTTATGACACTAGTTAATAATATAAAAATGTTAAATAGAGAAGTAAAACATAATATAATAACCACCCTTTTAGCATCTTTATTAATTTTGACCAAGTCTCAGAACAAAATTATCTCATGCAGAGAATATGGGAATAACAGTAACAACAATAAAGTTTGGAATCTTGGAGTTTTATGGTTCCGTTCCCTATTTCTGTTCCTAGGAATTCTATAAATCTTTTACAGATTTCCATTTTGTTTTTAGACACTATTAATCCATAGTGTTCTAATTTATATAATACTTGTTTTAGATGAAGAAAATGTTCTTCTTTTGTTTTAGAAAAAACAAGTATATCGTCTATATAGACGCAAGTAAAGGATTTTAAATCCTTAAAAATGTTGTCCATTTTTCTTTGAAAAATGGCGGGAGCATTTTTAAGGCCGAAAGGCATAACATGCCATTCATATAATCCTTCTGAACAGGAAAAAGCTGTCCATTTTACAGAGTCAGGGTCGGACCGGTGGTTAAAGTAATAAGTGTGAACCCTTACTACTAGCTTAAGCTTTTAGCAAAGTGGCTAGCGCTTGGCGCCAAACTCTTGGTATCAGAGCGAGGCCGCGTGCTCGATTCCTGCCGAGGACGGAATTGGGGCAGCGTGTGGTAAGTCCCCTCGAGATTCCCGAAGAGCGGGGGAATCAGAGTCGCGGAAGCGTGGTGGGACCGGTGGTTAAAGTAATAAGTGTGAACCCTTACTACTAGCTTAAGCTTTTAGCAAAGTGGCTAGCGCTTGGCGCCAAACTCTAGGTAGATTACAAACATCAGCTAAAAACAGGTGAATGAAACATAAAAAGCCTGAAAAGTAATTTGGCTGATGCAGTTGGATCCCAGCAATCACTAAAACTTGATGAAGTAAAAGTGCTCGTACTTTGTGAAGGCAATGTAAGCTTTTTCTAATGAAATGAAAATTGTTACAACCAGAGAACAATTCATTTGTGAAAGAAATATCAGAGTTCGGGCACAACCTTTCTTCTTCGTTGTTAAAATTAAAAAGAATAAAATAAAAAAAATCAGTTCATAACTAGTGATCTGCAAATTAGTATTTTGTAATCACCAAACTACCAATTTCAAGAACACTATATGAAAAAGAAGCCTTAGTCAAGAACACTATTTCAAATCCTAAGTCCATATTTTACTAATACACATATTAACTAGTTAACAACACAATTACAGATTATCCCCCAAAAATATATTCTGTTGGGACCATGAGGTTTTTTGGAGCCATAAATGATCATAAGAAACAATAATACCAGACAAAAAGCAGCCAAGGCAACAAAGTTTCAACCCTGCATTCTATTTGGAGCAAAAGGTTATTTGCCCTTTATGAAAAGGGGAGCCTGAGGGTTGTTTAACTTTAAATCAACAATACCATATTCTACAGTTGAATTCTAGTTTTATTTGTCATGTTGCTCCTTATTGTTTTACAAAACATATCAATACGAATACTTTCAGAAAGCCAGTAATGTAAAACTATGAGTATGTACTAGAGCAATCTAAGACTCCTCTAAAAGGTAAAGACATGAAATCTATTTACTAATTCAGAATAGTTACAGAAGTCAAGGCTCGCAAGCTTCACCATTCAAAACCAATGAACCATAGAAAAGGTGGGAGAATATTAGTACATACCTCATACTGAAGGACCAGCTCTTATAACAGCTTTGCACTTGAAGAGATTTTTCTACCATAAAATGAATTCAATTAAACTCTTCATCAAAATTAATAATTGTACTCCTTATTATACTACATTATCCATAGGAAATCCATAAAAGTATCTGTGTGTACCTAGCAGTAATCCAGCCCTCCAAACATGAGTTGAAGATTGAAATAAACAAAAAGAAAAAGAAACACATTTGAGAGGACAAACATGTGGGTCATGCAAGGTCACAAATTCCCATAGGGTCCCTGTCTTGCCTTCCATCATTCTATCCCTATTGAAAAATCTGATAGGAATTTAATCTTTATAAATATTATTTCCGCTCATCTGCCAAGCATTCCGTTGTAGTCTAGTTGGTCAGGATATTCGGCTCTCACCCGAAAGACCCGGGTTCAAGTCCCGGCAACGGAATTTGGGTTTTGCATTTTTTTCAATTGGTTCTTTAAATAATATGTCTTCTAAAATTCTTCTTAATAACCAAATCTCTGAATACAAAAGTGGTATTTTATGATTTTGTTACTTAAAACCATAATTTCTTTTATAAAACATAATAAAGGCTTATTATTTAACCTCAAATAAGCAATTTTCAATATAACTTTACCAGAGTTCTTTACACAAAATTATTTAGCTGACATGAATAAAAATAAATTTTATTTTATTTTTTCAAAGGCGCAACTAGGGCGAAAATGTAAAAAATATCTCTGAATGCTAAATTGACAGTTAATTTTCACATTGACAAAAGAACCAAAGAGTTGTAATTTATTTTAAATATTATCGATACCATTTTTAAAAAGATCGTGCTATTCACTTTTGTATATATTTTAATAATTTTTTATGTTATTATTATTATTATTATTATTATTATTATTATTACTACTATTATTATTAAATTTATTATAAATAATAAAAATAATTAATAATTATACTAATAATAAGAAATTAACATAAACGATACTAATAAATAATAAATATAAACAATAAAATTAATAATAAAAAGTATTATTAATATTATTTTTATTTTTATTGTTTATGGTTAAAATTATAATTATAATTATTATTATTATATTTTTATTATTAATAATAATAACATTTAAAACTAAAAAAATCATTAATATATATAAATACAAAAGTAAAATTGTGTTATACCTCACTACAAGACAAAAAAAAACTAAAGAAAAATAAAAAGTTGTGCTTTCAGTATAGGGAAAAAAATGAAAATTATGCTTCCAACCAAAGTTGTATTCGCAAGCACAACTTTTTTTTTTTTTAAGTCGTGCTTCCAAACTTATCTATTCACGTATTTTTATAAAATATGATCTGGGTAAGTTTTTTAAAATTTCACATCGTTGGTGCTTTTGCCGTTCACCTTTCTCATTCATAATAATTTCTTTGGATCAGAGAAAAAAATAGTAGAAAAGCAACGATATAACAACGACAAAATTTAAAATTAGAAACATATGTTGTTTAGTTTCATTGAAATATATTATTTAAACTTTCCGACTCCCTATTTTTCCTTTCAAACAATAAATTGATATTAAACAATTTTGTGCGATCCTTTTTGTTTTTTCTCTATTTCTAGTCAAAAATACAACTTGTGTGAAACTTGTTTCCATTATTACATGAGTGTGTGAAGAGTTGAACCATACCCACGTCCACATAATAATAATAATAATAAACAAAAACTTAAATGAAACAATAGCTTCAATTAATTCCAAGCTTGAACCACTTTGGATGTGAAAACATTTCAAAAACAATAATAATAATAAGACTACAACAAGTAAGACTAGCAATCAACTTTCTTCCCCAGCAGCTCCTATTGAAACACCAAACTTAGTTTTTAAGATTACACAAAGAGTCTAACATGCTATGACAAATTAAATTTCACTTTTCTTCTAGTTCGTATTTCTCAGAATATTACACGTACAACAGAGCCGACACCAACCAATTCAACTATGTTTTCCAACCTCAGCTTGAGCAGCATCCAACTCTCTTCAAAGCAGACACATCATTTTTCAGGTCAATTTTCTCCCCCTTGGCAGGCACAGACGCAGTTCCATTTTCAGCACCCTCTACTGCTTTCTTGCTAACAATGCGGTAGATTTGAGTCAGAACTTCAGCAAATGCATTCTCTACATTCGTAGCCTCCAGAGCTGAGGTTTCCATGAAGTAAAGTGATTCTTTCTCAGCATACGACTTCCCATCTTCAGTTGTAACTGCCACCAGGTGGCGAAGGTCTGATTTGTTTCCAACCAGCATCACCACAATGTTGGCATCTGTGTGATTTCTCAACTCTTTCAGCCATCTGTCAACATTCTCGAACGTCGCATGGCGAGTCACGTCGTACACGAGAAGCGCTCCCACTGCCCCGCGATAGTAAGCACTGGTGATTGCACGATACCTACGGAGAGTGACAGTGTGAATTAACAACATGCAACTTTGTGGGAACTCAATTTACAAGTTTGGTTAACTTGATAAACGTGATTAATCACAACAATGGGTTGTTAAGCAACAATGTAGAATCACGTTCATTAAGGATAACATATCAACCAACTGACTTGGTCCAATGATCTCTGCCTCATCCACGGTTTTCTTTATCCTTTCAGACGCAACAATCAAGTTTAAAATATATACACTCTCAGTCAATTACAAGGTCTTCTTCAGTGATGCCTATAGTAAAAATTTATTCTTACCAGTACAGGCAGTGATATAAGGGGTTTTGGTTGGGAAGAAGGGGAGAAATGAAGTATTTTTTCATTGAAAATTTTGATGAAGAAAGAGGCACAGGTAGTTAGAACTCTTGAAGGGAATAGTTGACAGTAAATAGAACTATGGGCCAAAATATTGACACTGTAGTATAAACTTTTAGGTTCAACTACTAAGTTGGTTTTTGAACTAATTTGTAAAATTTCAAATAGGTCCCTAAACTAAATTTTTTAATTGGATCCCCTAGCTAAATAAAAGTAGGTCCCTAGAGTTAGTTTTTGGCAGCTGGAAACTGCTAGAAAATCACAATATATGGCAGTTTTCAAGGGACCTAATAAAAAAACTAGTTAAGAGACCAGCTTGAAAATTTCCAGAGTTTAAGGACCTACTTAGTAATTTAACCAAATCTGTACTATCATGTTGATTGTTCAAATTGGAATTGTATGTAATGAGAATAGCAATGGTGACGATGAGTGATTAAAATATCATTGATGTCATCAATTCATCCTATAATCCTGTAAAATTTCAACCTATAAGCTTACTGACACATATGTCCCATAGTATAAAACACAACTTGTTTATTCTATAAGGCTCATCAACCTCACCAGAGTTTCCAGAAAATGCAATGATGTCAGCAAGGAGTATGATTAATAACTCAAGTAGGTAGCCCAAGAAAAGGGTCAAAACTTACCCTTTCAAGAAATCTTTCACATCATATGACATGCATCAAATGAAAAAGTATATAATCAAATTCGATTAGCATATGCTTAATCAAGGCATGCTTTATTTTATTTTGCAAAACCAGGCCAAAATTCATCTGACATCACACATGACCAAAGCCCACACATATATACACAGTTCAAACCCTTCCCAAGCTTTACAGGTTGAAGCGCAAAAGCTAAAGATCAACATATTTACACATAGAATAAGATCTAAAATGAAGAAATTTGCACAATAATTCCAAGGGCAGATCATGAAGAAAATAATATTAAACATGGAATAAACTTACACAAGAATAGTTAAGAGAATATCAATATTTTATTAACCAAATAGCAAAAGGAGAAATTACTGGTACACTACACTAGATAGTGTTTTCTAAAGAAGGAAAATCCTTGCTATGAAGCATTGCTTGTGAATGAACCATTACAAGACCCAAATGCAGTACAAACTACGAACTACAATCTAGTCTGATATCAATCAGGTATTAGGCAACTTCAACTGAATTCAGTGGCATTTCTATTCGATGTATTTCAAATTCAAGTGTTTATACATATTTCTATTTTGAGACCTTATAAACCAAACAATTCACGAATTTCAATCTCATACCATCATCCAATCCATTGTTGAACCCCGTTTAACAAATTTGACCATGTCAACACTCACACACAAGATGCCAAACTCATTAAATAACACGGCAACACATCACCAGACAATAATCTATTCCCATTTAACACCAACAGCACATCAAAAAACAGAATCCACGTGACATCAACAACATCCGGTTCATTCCATTTTCAAAACACTACATCGCCTCATTGACGGTCCCACTTCCACCGCCGATCTCAAAAACACAAATCCTCATCGACTCTGCAAAACAAATCTAGCACAGGACAAGCAACAACACTCATTTCACTCACTAACCTAATTGCTTAATTCCACAAACACACACTTCACTTACCCTTTTTTAACACCAGTAAACAACTCATTCACATTACTAATAATTCGAGCGAACTTCCACACTAGATCATGATCCACTCAATTATACAACAACAACAACAACAACAACAACATAGCCTTTTCTTAGTAGGTGTAAACTCTGTTCAGTAAAAAAAAAAAGACCCGACAAAAACCCAGTTGAACATGCGCAAAATTAGATCCACCCAAGTAAACCAACCCTTCAAAAATCACTTTTTTTCCCCATAATTGTTGACCATTAAAAAGTAGGGTTTTTGACTTGGAACTGCGGTACCCATTGGTGTGTTAGGCATGATCTTGCATTGTGGGAAGGGAAAGGAGAGGGAGAAGGGGCAAAACCTTTCTTGGCCTGCGGTGTCCCAGATCTGGGCCTTGATGACTTTGGAATCGACGTTCAAGGTGCGAGTGGCGAACTCGACGCCAATGGTGGACTTGGACTCCAAGTTGAACTCGTTCTTCGTGAAGCGAGAAAGCAGGTTGGACTTACCGACACCGGAGTCGCCGATGAGCACAACCTTGAAGAGGTAGTCGTAGTCGTCGTCGGCTCTGTAACCCGCCATTGGTGGTGGTGCTTGCTCTGTTATGAGCTGTGAATGGAAAGAAAAGGATGAGAAAAGAATGAAGAGAGAAGTGCGGAGTGAAAAGAAGGGAAGGAAAAAGAGCCGAGAGTGTGGAAGGAAAACGCTTAAAAAAGCGCCACTAACTCACTCCCTCATCAAATCATTTTCTTTTTTCTTTTTTTGTCGTTGTTTTGATTCGCACGTACAGGTGAGACTAGTCTTGCGTTTTGAGATGGGATTCAGGGTTGAATCATCATCATCTTCCATGTTTCTTCATTTTCTTTTTATCATCAAATTAAGCATAATAGAAAACTTTGAATCTACTCACCCTGTGCTAACACTTCAAATAATTTCGATAAAATCATATTCATTTGTCTTGCATTCTTAATACTAACATTGTGTACGGTTAAATTATCAAGTTAAAAAATATATAGCCATAATAAAAAAATATTATATAAATATAATATAATATAATTTACCAACCCAATACACTATCTTGCAATCTAAGTTTTAGTTCACATTATTTGATAATTAAAATATAAATATATAGAACAATAAAAAAAGTTGGTACTGCCTCTCCCACAACAACTTCACATTTAACAAGCATTTAATTTTCACAGGAATTTAGTGTAGGAGCAATTAATATCATGGAGTTAAAATGTTTTCTGTAAGATATGAGAGAATCTATCATGTGTTGAGGAGATTAACTCAAAGTTAAATAATTTAATTATATCATTAGTAAATAATATCTGTATTTTAATATTTAACTAACATTTCGTTGCTTCATAATAGGGAGTAATTATTATAAAAATAGGAAGAATAAAGTATTTTTTTATAATAAAGAAAGTGACAAAAAAAATGTTACTTATTATTTTTCATTATAATATATATATATATATATATATATATATATATATTAAATTATAAATATAAAAATAAATAATAATTTATTTGAGGATAATTTTATAAAAAGATATTTTATTTATAAATGAGTGAAATGTAATATATATATATATATATATATATATATATATATTAAATTCGAATTACTATTTTACTAAAATGTTATAAATAAAAAAATTATTATAAAAATTAAATGAGTTTACATGTTTGTTTTTAGTATGGTATTATTTTATTAATTTAAACTTAATTTTTAGAAAATATAATTTTATAATACAAAATATTTTATGGTAACATATCAAAATATACATTATTTAAAAATTGAGATATTAATTTAAATATATCAAAATTATTATCTCAAAATTATTATATCATTAAAAAAATCAATCATAATTTTATAATTAAATAAATATTTAATTTGAATTTATTTATTTATTATTTTTAAGATCAGCATGTTTATGTAACTTTTCTTTCAAATAAATAAGTATATTTTTTATTTCATTTTATCCTTTCTTTTCTTTTATTTTTATTTTCTTTCTATTTATTTCCTCGTATTTTTGTATTGACTAAGAATCCTAAATATCTAATATTCATATTCAAAATCTATATATCAATAAAGTGTCATAATTTAAGACAATTAAATAAACAAGTGATGTTGTCTACATAATATATATTTTCATAAATTTAATTAATTTTATTATTGGATTTGTTCTTGAAAAAACTTGTATGGAAATTTTTTTTTCTCTTTGGTTTCAATGTTTTGATTTGATTTTAAACTTTGTATAATATCTATTTTCATCATTTTTTGCATTTAGATTTTTGAGTTCATTAATTTATCTAGATTTCAATTATATAAGTGATATATTAAATTTTATTTGTTTTATTCTTCATAAGTCCTTCTTCAAGGTTCTTATGTAAGAACAATAGTTATACCATGAAGCCACATCGTTCTATTCCATTGGTAAAATTTGCCAAGAACGATTCTCGTATAGAAGAACCTATGCTGAGATCTTACTAATAAAGATAATTCTAATCTCTTATAATTTTTAATGTTGAATCTTTAAAAACAAAATAAGTTATTTACCAAAATGTTGATTTTATTTAAGGAAATAGATAAAAAATAATAAATTTACCAAAATGAAATAAATCGTTTGGACGAATTCTTATAATACAATCGAGCTTAAAAACATAATTTTAATTAAAATTATATATTTTTATTAAGCTCGTACTATCGAGCACGAGGTCTATGGTTTTTTTTTTTCAAAAAATGAGATTTTTTTAATTTTTTTTAATATATTATTTCTATTATTATTATTATTATTAATCATATTATTAATTCTATTATTATTAATCATATTATTGTTTCAAATATATTAATTCTATTATTATTAATCATATTATTATTAATATATATTCCTGTTTTATGTTATTTTACATCATGTTTATATTGTTATTAATATGTGTTTATATTGTTATTAATATATTGTTATTTTACATCATGTTTATATTGTTATATTAATTCTTCATATTAATATTATTATTATAAATCATATTATTATTATTTTTGTTTTTTTATGCTATTTTGCATTTTGTTTTGTTAATAGTGTTATTATTAATAATGTTAATATTATTATTAATATTTGTTTTGTTAGTATTAATTTTTTTTCCTTTTTCATTTTTTTATATTAATATTTTTTTTTAAATCTTATCTTTTAAAAAAAAAACAAGTTCAATACAAATTAATATGATGTTATCAAACACATTAAAAAATAAAAATTATACAATTTTACATAATACCATTTTAATCAAAATTGTATTTTTAACGATTTCACGGAAAAAACTCACCCCATCTTACACTACTTAATCAACATTTTTTACCCTATTAAAAAAAAAAAAAAACCCCCCGCCGAGAAAGGGTTTCATTGTCACGCGAAATAAGAGAAGAGGCATGGGAGAGGGTAATAGTTTCCTATGAAAAAAATTAACATTATTTACTTTTTAATAGTGTTATAATTTCATATATTTTCTCATTTTTAACCTTAAAGCATTTCATCTCGACTCTAATTTTAGCTTCTTCTTTTGTAAAAGAAATTCATACAAATATAATTGATAGACTTTTTCTTTTTCAAAATTACCAAATGATTTGTTAACTCCCAAAATTTTCCTTTTTTTTTTCTTTTCTTAATATCACCTCTACAAGTGACTAAAAATTCTTGTAAATCTTTTTTTTTTTGTCACAATCATCAATGTGACACAAAATAATCAATCTCTTATAAAATTTCAAAATTTTCTTTTAACGTTACACGATTTTCCAATCATGTTTTGTATGTTCTAGCAAAAATTCTACAAGGTTAAACACATTCAACATTAGTTATTTTATTAAATGGTATATGTGACGTATGCTTTTTATTATAATATTATATTAATATTATTATGTAAAAAAATTTCGTAATGAAGTTTTTATCATGCACAATAAATTTTTTCTTATATATGCATACTGAAGCTGGAGAGGAGGAGAATCAAAATTTTCCTCTCATCCTTCTTCTTCTTTTATCTAAATTTCAAGCAATGATACTCTACAGGATCTCGTGAAACAGAGAGGATTTTTTTTTGCGTCCAAGCATTGTTTTAACATTAAATTACATATATAACATACTATGTATAATATTTACGTAATTAGCACAGCTTTTTCAAAAAGTCAAACATTTTAAATAAAAAATAGTAATTATTAGAAATTTTATGTTTTAAATCCATTAAAATATATATATATATATATATGTTAAAAAAATTTATTTATATAATTATATTATTAATATTTTTATAAATATAATAAATATAAATATATTTAATATATATATATAATATTTAAATATTTATTTATATAATTATATCAAATTAATATAAATATTCTTTTTACCTATCATAAAAACATATTTATATAATTATATGTTTAATATAATTTTATAAATATAGTAAATATAAATATATTTAATATATATATAATATTTAAAATTTATTTAATATAAATTAGTTGAAGAAAAAAATTGATAAAAATAATATTTTATAGGAATAATAAATCAAAAATAAATTTATATAAGATATTGTATGAATAAAATTTATTTAATAATAATTTTGATGTAAAAAATTAGAAAAATACAAATAAATTACAATATTATAGATTTAATATTTAAATAAATTTAATAAATATGGATTTATATAATATATATATATATATATATATATATATATATTTGTATATCTAAATTTACTTACCATTCACATGACAAGATATACTTTAAAAGACTATTCTGGACCTTTAAGTCATGCATTGATGGCTTTCGATATTATAAACCACTAGTTCAAGTAGATGGAACATTTCTATATGGCAAATATAGGGGCACCCTACTACTGGCTGTTGCACAAGATGGAAGGAACAATATACTTCCCATTGCTTTTGTAATTGTTAAAGGTGAAACTGCAGATGCTTGGTTGTTTTTCTTAAAAAACCTAAGGAGGTATGTCACACCTCAGGATAACTTGTGCTTAATTTCGGATCGTCACAATTCAATTCATGCAGCGTATACAAGACCTGAGAGTGGATAAACTGATGGTAACTGTATGTATGTGTACTGCATTTGACATATTGCACAAAATTTTATGAGAAGATTCAAAATTGCAGCTCTCAAAAAAGACATTGTCAATATGGATAATAACTTTTATTCTATCAAAATTGTTTAAGTACGTCATCTTGTTTATTCTATGTTAACTTTTATTACTTCAATATGCAGCATACACAATGACTGAGCCAAGAGCAAACTACTACTACAAAATTTTAACAAAATATTTATACCAAACATATTAAAATATAATAAAAATATTTATATATTTTTATAAAAAAATATTATTTATACTTAATTAATATATATATATATATATATATATATAATTTATTTATGTTATTATGTATATAGAAAGATATAAATATATATTTATTAAATATGTATTTATTAAATATATAAATATACATGTATTTATTATATTTATAAAAAGATAAATAAATATTTAAATATATATATATATATTAAATATATTTATATTTA